GATCTCTGTGAGTTCGAGGCCAGCCTGGGCTACCAAGTGAGTTCCAGGAGAGGTGCAAAGCTACACAGAGAAACCCTGTCTCGAAAAACCAAAAAAAAACAAAAAAAAAACAAAAAAAACTTTAAATGTCATAATACACATTGCATATGGTTTACTTTTAAAAATGCTTTCAGAAATAAAAGAGTTAGGGAAGAATTTTTAAAAATTAAATGAATTTGAATAGGTAGAATTTAGAAAGGTAGATAAATTGTCAATAGTGATCATCTCCAGTTAGTGGGAATATTATATATTGTGTTTTTCTTTCCTATCTGGAGTTGTGTGCATATGTATGCGCGTGTGTGTGTGTGTGTGTGTGTGTGTGTGTGTGTGTGTGTGTATGTGTGTGTGTGTTAAGTTGATTCACTGCTTCTATCATTTAACTCCTAGGGATCAAACTCAGGTTGTCAGGCAAATGCCTTTCGAATACTGAGGCAGCTCACTAGTGCTGTTGCTTTGTTTTTGTTTTAATTTTATAAATATTTCCTAGTCAGTCTGTCTACATTTTAAAAGCGGTCTTAGGTTCACACAGAATGGGAAGAAGAAGTTTCAATTTTTCACAACCCTCCTAGCACTACTCATGGATAGCCTCCCTCTTATCCACACTTTAACCAACAGGACATCTATTTCAAATGATGAACACACAATGACACACTGTGATGACTTCACACTCAGTGTATAGTAAGGTACACTCAATGTTGCATATGCACAGTCTTGAACAAATACATAATGACATGTAGTCAACATTTGGGGACATACAGAATTGTCATGGTGCCCTGAAAGTCCCCTCTGCTCTACCCTTTCAGCACTCCCTCTCAACCTCTTGAAACTATGGATAGTTGTAGTTACCTTGTAGCTTTTCTAGAATATGATATTATGGCATTTAGCTTCTTTCCCTTCACAATGAACACTTAAGTTCCTACATTCCTTTTATGTCTTGAACCTCAGTTCTGTATCCCCATCTAGATGTACCATAGTTTTCTTAGCAATATACCTACTGAAGGGTACCTTGTTACTCACAGAATCTGGCTACTATGAATGAAGAAGCCTCTATAAACATCTGTGTGTAGGTCTTTGTACAGACATAAGCTTCCAAGTCCTTGGGGAACATGTGACAGGGTCCGATTATTGGATCATTCTGTAAGAGTAAGTTTAGTTTTCTATGAAAACTCCGAGCCTCCATCCTACACTGCTTCACCACTCCGAAGGAAGGAATGAAACTTATTATTTCAGATTTTAGCCTTCTACAGTATTTGCACCATTTGGGACTCTGGCATTCTAAGAGACAGGTAGTGGCAGCTACCAGTTGTCTGCATTTTTATTAGTTGGCTTTATATGCAGCACCCTTTTATATACTTACTTGATGAGTATCTTTGGCAAGGTCATTTTTTTTAAAGATATGATTGTTCACCTGCCAAAAAATAGCTTTCAGTGCCTGCTTTTGACGTAGATTGCCCCATATCACATCATTTGTAGCCAAGGGGAGGAATGCTTTGGGAAGCTTCCAGGCACTCGGGTCCAAAACACATGGCAGGGCAGAGAGAGAAAACCTGAAATATGTGTCCAGGTAAGGCGAGTTTTCAGTAGCTATTATTTAAAAAATAAAATAAAACATTTGGGTTAAGGATAAAGAGTTACAAACTGAGAGTAACGAATGAAAGCTGCACGAGAAGAGACAGGCATTAGAGGCGGAGCATGCTCACCTCCAGAGGAAGTAAGCAATAGTTGTATTTTGCTTGGTACTCCTACTTTTCTGGCACAGCTGGACCCACGCAGAGGCACACCCAACCGGTGATCTAACCCCAGAGACCTTCCCTTTTCTCTGTTTTGAACTTAAACTCTGAATTTTCTCAACAGAAAATTTTCCTCCAGTGAGAATTTTTTGAATGGGTTTATACTGCTATCCCCATCCTGCATATTTAGAGACACCAAGGAATTTATGGAAATGACTGCCTGGCATGGCTGCTTCCATTCTCCCATTTTTCTCAGTCATCCCACCTGCAATAGGTACACACAGTCATCACCAGTTCCCACCGAGTCTATTTTAATCATCCAGATCAGCAGACTGTCTCTAATACACCACGCTCTTCCTAGGCAGGGTGGACACATCTCCGGTACTAGCAGTTGGATCTCAGAAGTGTCATGAGTTTGAGGTCAGCCTGGCTTACATAACAAGATCCTATCTCAAGGGAAAAAAAAAGACCCAATTCTGTCTCTTCAAATCAATTGTTATATGATACCCCCTTATTATTGTATTCAAATTCAAATTACTTGCCCTTATTTTCTGTGATCTATTTGGTCACACTGGGGACATGTTAGTGACTTTTCATATTGTTGTCTACAAATATCTGAAAAGAAGCGATTTAAGGGACAAAGGATTTGTTTTGCCCTACAGTTCAGCGTATACAGTGCATTACGTTAGGGGAGGCATGGTAGCAGTGCCAGCCTTGTTCTTAGTGGTAGGAATATGTTTGCTTATCTGGGCAGATCAAAAGACAGATAAAGTAATGTGCGGCACTCTGTTTATGTTCCTTTTTTCCATTTTTACTACTCACTCTGGGACCCTGACCCATGGCAAGGTACTGCCCATGTCCAGGGTGAATCTGAAAACACCTTCATGGGCACACCAAAGGTGTGACTCACTAATGCCCTATAAATCTCAATTCAATCAAATTGACAATTAAAATTCACCAACCTCAGTCCACTCCTTTTCAACCTGACACCCAAACACGTCACTTTTAAAACATAACATTTCACCTCTTGTTCTCTGAGGCACACGATCATCTCACAGTATAAAAATGCATTTAGTTCATCTCCAAGAGTCCTCTAAGTCTCAACAGCTATAACATTGGACAGAAATCTAAGCTGATTCAAAGTCTTTTCTGAGATTGAAGGTAATCTCTGAACTATGCTCCTCTGTAATAATCAAAACTCAAGTTATATCCTTCCAATATGCTATGGCACAGGGGAAAGATCTTGGTCCTTAATGTGGGTATAGGGGCATAACAAAGAACTGTCATATAGGAATGAGACTAAAGATCAGCAAAAAAAAAAAAAAAAAATTATACCTTGAAACTATGTGTCAGGCATCTGGAAATCATGATGTACCTGTCTGTATTCCAACTGGCTTGGGAAATCTTGCTCCTCCAGCTCTGTGGCCTGTAACATACATGGCCTCTCTCTTGAGCCTGCTCCACACAGTATCAGATTTCTTTAGCAAATGTTCCCACATTGCTGGACTCTGCAACATACCCAGGTCTTCATTAAAACGTAAGTTTCATCTGAGTAACTTCATTTGTAGCCTACTCAGGAGCTTCAAGTAGAGAACACAATGTTGCCATATAATACTTGGCTTTGGCAGCTTTCTAGAACCTTGATGGGAGCCTCTATGACCCTCTCACTCAGAGTCTTCCTGTTTGCAAAATCCACACTTGTGTCAGTAATGCCGAGTTCTGTTATCAGACTCAAGATGTATTATGTCCCTGAAGACTACAGCTATGCTGGCCTCTGCACGCCATTTCAAGTCAGCCTGGAAAAACTTTTCTTAGGTGGTCATTTTCCAGCAGTACACCCAGGAGGTGTTGTCTTTTCAGCTTTCTTCATTCAAATGAATCTTTTTCAAGTAATTTTTTGGTTTTACACCTTGGAGTCTTTTTTTCAGTGCTGTTTAATTGTTTTTAATTTTCATTGAAAATAGATTTCTTCTCTCATAGAATCTTGACCACAGTTTCCCCTCCCTAAGATCAACTCCCTTTCCATTTCCCTTCAGAAAGGAAGAGGCCTCCAAGTGACAACAACCAAACAGGACAAAACAAGATAAAAGAAGACGTGACAAAAGCCCTCATATGGAGTGAGGCTGGACAAGGCAAGCCAATAAGAGGAAAAAAGCTCCAAGAGCAGGCAAAAGAGTCCGAGACACACCCACTCCTACTGTGAGGAGTCTCACACAAACACCAAACAAACAGCTATAAAATGTACTCAGAGAACCTGGTGTAGACCCATACAGGCCACGTGCTTTCAGTCTCTATAAGCCCATAGGAGCCCTGCTTAGTTGATTTGGTGGGTCATGTTCTCCTGGTGTCCTCCATCCCCTCTGATCCTACAATTTTTCCTCCCTTTCTTCCATGGAGTTCCCCTGAGCTATAAAGGGAGGGAACAGACGGAAATCTCCAGTTCAGACTCAGTGTCTATAATGTCTGGCTGTGGGTCTCTGCATCTGCTCACATCTGTTGCTGGAGGAAGCCTCTCTGATGCTGACTGGACAAGCTACTGATCTATGAGTATAGTAGAATATCATTAGGATCATTTCATTTATCTGTCTGTCTGCCTGCCTGTCTCTATCACCTATCTATCAATGTATTTCTTTACTTATTTCATCAGTTGTCTTTGGTTCTACCCTAGGTCTCTGGGCTATCCAGTCTCTGATTCCTGGGCATAAAAGCAATGTAAAGCAGGGGCTCCCTCTCATGGTGTGTGCCTCAAGCTACACAAACATTGGTTGGCCACTCCCACCAATTCTGTGCCATCACTGCCCCAGCACATCTTTTTTTGTTAGAAAAAAACATTGTATTCACTATTTATTTATTTTTCACATATTTATTTTATGTCCCAGTGCCACCTTCTCACCAATCCTCCCTTCCATTCCCTCTTCCCCATTCCCCACTTCCCACCCCAGCCCCCTCCTCTTCTGTCTCTATCCAGGAAAGGGCAGGTCTCCTATGAGTATCAATAAAACATGGCACATCAAGTTGCAGTAAGACTAAGAACATCCCCATGTATTAAGGCTGGGCAAAGTGACCCAGTATGAGAAGTAGGATCTCCAAAGCCAGTAAAACAGAGATAGCCCCTGTTCCCTCTCTTAAGAGTCTCTCATAAGAGGACAGCTATTACATATATGCAGAGCCCAGCACATCTTTTAAGGCAGGACAGACTGTAGGTCGAGGGTTTTGTGGCTGGATTGTGTCCAGGTTTCTTTATCCATAACCTGCATAGTACCTACCCATGCCAAAGAAACTAGAACGTAGGGGTGAAGGCTCCATGCAGGCACCAACTCAACTTCCATGTTCAATGAGCTGTGTGGATGTTGTACTCTGCAATGGATCCATGCTGTCGGATTTGGAGAGTAGCCCTCTGTCCTTGCATCAGCCTGGGCTTTTGGAGTTTCTCCATGGGCTATCCTCAGCCAACCATGCAAATAAATGCAATCTCAGCCTAACACTGGAAGCCTTGCCTAGCTACAAATGATGGCCAGTTCATGGTTCATATCCTCCATTGCTAGGAGTCCTCACTACGGTCACCCTCATAGATTCCAGAAAGTTTCCACTGCACTGATTCTACACTACCGCCTACTAAATGCCCCCCAATTCCAGCTGTCTCTTCCTGAAATCTTCTCTCCTTAATTGACCCCTATACTTGATCCCTCTCACTCCCATCTTCACCTGCTCCAGATCCACCTGCAAAATCTATTCTATTTCCACTTCCCAGGAAGATCCACTTGTCTGTCGCCCCCGCCCCCATACACACACACACAACCCTCCTCTGTAACTAACTTCTCTGGGTCTGTGGATTGTAGCTTGATTATCATTTACTTAACGGCTGATCTCCACTTACAAAGAAGTGAATACATACCATATTTGTCTTTCTGTGTCTGGGTTATCTCACTCAGGATGATTTTTTTCTAGTTACATCCATTTGTCTGCAAATTTCATGATACCATTAAAAAACAAAAACACTTCGTGGTTGAGTAATGCTTCATTTCACAAACATAACATACATTTTTTTTTATACATTCTTCAGTAGAGAGACATCAAGGTAGTTACCAGTTTCTGGTTATTATAAATAAAGCATCAATGAACACAGTTGAGTAATCGTCCTTGTAGAATGGAGTGTTCTTTGGGTATATGCCCAAGGGTGGTATACCTGGGTGTTGAGGTAAATTGATTCCCAACTTTCTGCAGAAGTGTCATATTTATTTCCACAGTGGCTGTAAAAGTTTTCACTCCCAACAGCAATAGAGAGTGTTCCCCTTGCTCCATGTCCTTGCCAGCATGAGCTGTCATTTGTGTTATTGATCTTAGCCATTCTGACAGGTGTAAGATGAAATCTCAAAGTAGCTTTGATTTACATTTCTCTGATGGCTAAGAATGTTTTACATTTCTTTTAAGTATTTATCAGCCCCTTGAATTTACTCTATTGAGAATTCTAGTTTAGATCTGTACCCCATTTTTTAAATTGGGATTTTTGTTTTTGTTTTTGATATGTGATTACTTGAGTTCTTTATGTATTTTGGATATTAGTTCTCTATTTGATGTGTAGTTGATGAAAATCTTTTCTCATTCTGTAGGCTGCTGCTTTGTCTGAGTGACCATTTCCTTTGCTGTACAGAGCTTTTCAGTTTCATGAGGACCCATTTATTTAACTGTTGATCTTAGTGTCTCTGTGCTAATAGTGTTCTGTTCAGAAAGTCCTTTCCTGTGCCAATGAGTTCGAGGCTATTCCCCACATTCTAGTCTATCAGGTTTTGTTTACCTGATTTTATGTTGAGGTCTTTGATACATTTAGAGTTAATTTTTGTGCAGTGTGATAAATATGGATCTATTTGGATTCCTCTACATGCATCTATCCAGTTGGACCAGCACCATTTGTGGAAGATGCTGTCTTTTTTCTAGTGTGTATTTCTGGCTTTCTTACCAAAACTTTCATATCCATTGATGTATGGATTTATGTCTTGGTCTTCAATTCAATTCCATTGATCAATGCATCTGTTTTGATGCTGATATCATGCTATTTTGTTACTATAGTTCTGTAGTAAAACTTGTAATTAGGGATGGTGGTACCTCCAGTAGGGTATTTTTTTTTTTTAGCTATTCTACTTTTGTTTGCATGTTGTGTTTCCATATGAAGCTGAAAATTGTTCTTTCAAGATCATAAAGAATTGTGCTAAAACTTTGAAGGGGAGTGCATTGAATGTGTAGATTGTTTTTGGTAGGATGGCTATTTTTACTATGTTAATTCTCCTGATCTATGAGCCCAGGAGCTCTTTCTATTTTCTGATATTTTCTTCCATTTCTTTCTTCAGTGTCTTAAAGTTTTTATCATACAAGTCTTTTACTTGCTTGATTAGAGTTGCCCCAAGACGTTTTATATTGTTAACGTTTTTTCTTTCTTTCTTTCTTTTTTTTATAGCTTGTTGGGGCTGTGTCTTCCCCCATTATTTGAAGAAATAAGTTAGATTGTCTTTATATATGCATATATCTTCAGAAGTTTCTAGTGTATTGCTTCCATTATGCCCCTCAAATGACAAGTAATTTTAGTTGTTTTTCTCCATACTTCCTCTTTAACCCCCTCTCCCTTGCCCCTACCCTTTGATCCACCTGTTATTTTCATGCTCCCTCATCCATTCATAACTATCTATTCTATTTCCCTTTTTTCCTAAGATCTCTCTCTCCACCATCATCCCTTACCCTATCCCTAAACTCTATGTTTCTATGGATTATAGCTTAGTTATCATTGACTTAACAGCTAGTATCCACTTATAAGCAAATACATACCATATTTGTATTTCTGGCTCTAGGTTACCTCATTAAGGATGATTTTTTTTCCATCCATTTACTTACAAATTTCATGATTTTGTTTCTTTTAATTGCTGAATATTTCTCCATTGTATAAATATACCACATTTTCCTTATCCATTCTTCTGTTGAGGGACATCTAGGTTGTTGATCTTAGTTCCTGGTATTCTTTTCAGAAAGTCATTTCCTATGCTGATGAGTTTACAGCTATTCCCCACTTTAGGCTACAGTTAACAGTGTTGTGGTGGCATTGTGTTCCCCAAAATATTGTACACCCTAATAACCTTATCTGGGGTCAGAGACAGAACAGCCACTAGATAGAAAGGCTAGAAAATGGTGGCACTCATACCTTTAATCCTAGCATTTCAGAGGTAGAAATCCCTTTGGATCTCTGAGTTCAAGGCCACATTGGAAACAGCCTGGCATGGTGACACATGCCTTTATTTCCAGAAAGTGAGCCTTTAATCCCAGGGAGTGATGGTAGAAAGGAAAGATATATAAGGTGTGAAGGCCAGAAACAAGAAGCATTTGGCTGGTTAAGATTTTAGATGGTTAAGCTTCAGACTTTCGAGCAGCAGTTCAGCTGAGAGCCATTGGAATGAGGACACAGAGGTTTCCAGTCTGAAGAAACAAGACCAGCTGAGAAATTGGCCAGGTGAGGTTAGCTGTGGCTTGTTTTGTCTCTCTGATATTCCAGAATTCACCCCAATACCTGCTCCAGGTATGATCTTATTAATAAGAACTTTTTAAGATTCATTCTACACAGTGTTGTTTCCCTGATTTCTTCCAGAGTCCATTTGTTATTTTTACACAGGAGAGTTACTGATTTTTGTATCCAGATGCTTCGCTGAAAATCTTTATTAACTGTAGCAACTTCCCAGTGAAATATTTACAGTCACTTATATCAACTATCATATCCTCTGCTAATAAAGATACTTTGACATCTTCTTGTCCAATGTGTAGCCCCTTGATCTACTTCAGTTGTCTTATTATTCTAGCTAAGATTTCAAGTACTATATTGAGTAGGTATTGAGAGAGTGGACAACCTTGTCTTGTTCCTGGTTTTAGTGAAATTGCTTTGAGTTTTACTTCATTTAAGTTGATGTTGGCTATAAGCTTGCAGTTAACTGAATTTACTGTGTTGAGGTATGTCCCCAGTACCCCTAATTCTGGAGGACTTTTATCTCAAAGGGATTTTGGATTTTGTCAAAATTGTTTTCTGCATCTAATGAGATGGTTATATGATTTTTGCCTTTCAATTTCTTTATATGGTGGATTATGCTTATGCATTTATATATGTTGAACGATCCCTGAGTCTGTGAGCTGAAGCCTGCTTGATCATGGTGGATGATCTTTTGGGGGTGTTCTTGGATTCAGTTTGCATTATTTTATTGAGAATTTTTGAACCCATGCTCATAAGAAAAATTTGTAA